TATGTATATAGACCAAAAAGCAAAAGGATGATTTTAAAATCTCTAAGATGAAAGGTAGCAGCCAATAGCCATGCCTTTAATTAATGCTGAGTTCGGTGTTGTTTTGCATTAAAATCACCTGGAAAGGTCATGGATTTTTATTTTACAAAGGAGGCGATGAATAAAAAAATGTAATTTTTAAAAATCTGATTAAAAATTCTAGGTAAAACACATGGTTGTTTCAGTTTTTTCCTGGTTTTACAAAATAACCATCAAAACTCTGATACAAACATCGCTGTTATTTTTCTGTCATTTTCATCCACATTTTAGGTTTGAGAGCAAAATAAGCTGTGAGGCAATCAAAAGGATTAGCTGACAGAAGATAAAGTCAGAGCTAAATGATTAAATCCTAACTTTTCACAGCAGTAAAGATAAACCAGTGAAACGTGATGCATCTCAGTGATCCTTCCTCTGTGGTCAGACAGATTTTTCATTGTGCTCTTTGTGTCTGAAAACTGTGGGCTCTCTGCCCTGCCAGCTGTGTGTTAGTATTCAAGGCACAGAGGAAGAGGAGCTGCAGTGTGACGGCTAGTAAAAACCAGTCTGCTAAACACAGACACAACAAGAGGAGAGATTCTGACCTCAGTCTCCCTCCCGCACCCCCAACCATCCAGTGATGAAGAGGAGCTACAGGAGCGCAACTCAAAATGACTGACCTTCAGTTTAAAAGGCTGTCTCGTTTTCCTGCCAGCACTTGATCGGTTTGCATTTGTGACCTTTTCCACTCAGTGTGCTCCTCAGACCACCAACATCAGCCGAATATTAAGGAAATATTTCTAATTTGAACGTTTTCGTTGGACAAACAAGCTAGAGACTGAGTTCATGTCAAGTTTCAAGTATTGTAATTTTCCTGTTAAAAAATCATTGCAGGCCTGCTTGGCACAAGTCAGCAAAATTGCCAAAAAGCAACAATTCAATTCAATATATTTATGTCGCCAGGTCACAACATACAGTACATCGTCTCAAGGCACTGTACACAAAAACAATCAATCTAAAGAAGCCAGCAGATTGTGTTGAATCACTTTGTCGCAGTCAGTGGAGAGGAAGAAACCTCCAGCAGAACCAGAACCAGGCTCAGGACAGACGGCCATCTACCTCGACCGGCTGGTTGGGGGACGGGAAAGAGACACAGGTNTCTCCTCATAGAAAAACACAGAAACAAAAAGTGTTATAGGACCAAAATTATGGCAAGGTAGTACAGGTTACTTCTTATATTTTGTCAGGGTTCACAATTTTCAGAACTGTAATGGTTCTGCTCGACAAAAGAAGAAAAAACTTCATTCACAGAATATATAGAAACTTTTGTGTGTGTGTGTGTTTGTGCTTTTCACTCATCTTTTCTCCATGAGGGGGTGTTCTGCCGTCTGCCTCAATCTGCCCCCCGACTCCCCCCACCAGAAACCCCGGTCAGATGTGGTCATCACTTTTGTCCGCAGTTGAAACTTGGCAGTCCAGGATCCGTCCCAGTGGTCACAGGTGTGCATA